GACATAAAGTGTTCGCCCTTTTTTGGACCTTGAAAAAGCATACGATATGATTAGCATTACAGACCTACAAAGTAAAATGAACCTTTGATAAACTTGATAGGATTTCTGTTTGGAAAATATAAGACAATCATGAAACAAGATACAAAGATCTGGACACCGTTTATTACCTACAGAGGACTATTACAAGGAGATCCGTTTTCCTCATATCTTTTCAATTATTATCTATATGACCTAAATACTTGTTTTCAAAGAGACGAAGATGGTATTCAAATCGAAAATCAGACAATACATACCATATCATATGCCGATGACATTGGTAGCTCCTACGGCAGCTGTGCTCCGTAGAAAGATCCAACAAATTTGTGAGTACTTAGAAAAATTAAGAGTTAAAATAAATCCAAAAAAATCAACAGTAATGATATTCAGAAATGGTAGTAATGTATTCAAAAAGCACATGATTTGTGATATAGTAAAAACAAAATTACTGTTTTTACTATATCACAAATCAAGGGAAACGGATTTAAGACGAAGTTGGATAATACAGCAATCGAAGATAGTAAATAAATACGGATTCTCTATTAAATTGTTTTTAGATCGTACACATAATATGGAGCAGTATAGTAAAGAAATAATATACAGAGCTATGGAGCTCTCCATCGTTCAAGACATTTAAGACATACGAAAACGGGAAAAACAAGCTGGTATGCAACAATTTTAAATTACCCAGAAAATAATAATTATATATTGACAAATCTAGCTTTCAACATCAAAAAGTTTTTAATACAGATTAAGCTAAATAAAAATGGATTAATTATAAATGATAAATATATAGACTATACCCAAACTATATATCCAAATTTTACCAAAATTTTATCTAGAGTTTATATTATACGTGAATGCTGTAATGAAAAAGATAAACTACAAAGGCTCCAGATGGGACCGCTGACTAACTGCAATAGTGAGATGGAAATGTTTAAGACTTTTGACAAAGCTAATACTAACACGATTTATATGTTATATAACCAAGTTAAACAATTTATTAAATAATAATTTGTGAAAAAATATNAATTCAAAATATCAGACAATCCAAAGACAATTCTACTAATAAACTTGGAATAAACTTAATAAAATTAACAAAAGATAATAAACTATATATTTTAAACGGACGCATTAAAATGGATTACCCAGCAGAATTTACATGAGTTGAACATAACGGTAGTTCTACTGTAGACTTAACAATATGTTCCGAGTACATGCTGAATTGTTGTTTAGAATTTACTACGATTGCTCATGACACATCAGATCATTTTGCATAATTGCATAATTGATGCCATTTATGAAATTCGCCGCATACTATTAGAGCAGTGGTTCTTAACCTTTTAGTGATGAGGGACCATTTATCAAAATTTTTGTGTTGTCATGGACCACGAGCTGTTTGGCAGTAATATAGGTTCTTATAAGGTTGTTCTATAAATTAAACACGTAGAAAATTATTCAAAACCGAGAGTATTATATATTATTTGCGAAAGTGTTACATTAATTACATTATTTTAGTGCGATTTTTGTGACTGCATACTGTTTACCAACTGCCGAATTCTTGGTTCAGTGCTACTCAAAGGAAATGCATGTCGGCACTGGCATCCAATTGATTTCGATGTTTATTTTTAATTATCAAAAGCACTGATAATCTTTGCTCGCATAAATATGTGGTTGAAAATAAAGTTAGGCACTGTAAAGCAATTTCTCGAATTTTAGGGAGAGCAATAGCTTTTTGGCTCCAAAAATCTTTAAGATTAATTCCTGTCTAGAATGTATCCTTGCAGTTACTATCATGTTGCATTTCAATTAACTTTTCTTGTATTTCATTCGGCACCTCAGAAATGTTGATTATGAAAGGATTGCAAATCAGTTTCCGAATACCTTTGTCTTTGCAGTCAGGAAAATAGCAATTAAATTCATTTTTCAAGCTTTGCAAATGGAATGTAATGTTCTTTTGTATTTGTCCTTTAATCTCAGCACACTGTCAATCAATAATTGGGGTTCAATGTATCAAACGCAGAAAAATTCTTTCTTTCGACTTTGCTGATCCATAGGTCGATTTTAGCGATAAACGCACTGATTTTATCTTCAAATGCAAATTTATTGCTAGTGACTTCCAGTTTCATATTTTCTGACCGCGCACCATACCCCAGCCCAATCCGCTATCGGCTCTAACCTTGACGTACTGCGCATTGTCATCAACGCGTCGTCATTTATTTAATAATTTTGGGATAACTTTCGCGGACCACTTCGGGTGCTTTCAGGGACCACCAGTGGTCCACGGACCACAGGTATTAGAGAAACAGCGAGAGAAGAATAATCATATTTATTCGACTTTTTTGAATCCGAAAAAACATTGGACAAAGTACGATAAACTGATAGGCAAAGAACTCCCAGCATACAATGTACTGTACCTGAAATTTTTGTGAAATGTGCTCAGCTTTATATATTGAAAAGATGGTGAGGTTTCAGCTGGGCATATCGCCCACCAGTGTGGCGTTATGCCCAGCTGAAACCTCACTATCTTTTCCAATAATTGTGAAAGTGCATCAGAAATTGAACTGGTCATCATTGCTGTTCATATCCTGTACAGATAATGTATCAGCGGACATTGATCGTATTGAGAACTTGTGACTCATACTACTCGGATAATTTATGATAACAACAGGAATTTTACAATGGTACCTGATCTGAAACAATATAGCATTGAGTGCTAGTTTGAAAAGAATCTAGAAATCAAACAAAATTTAATCATTGCCNAGTGCTATTAGTTTTTTAATTAAAGTTTATGTGAAGATGGTCTTACCGTGTGTTGATCGGATTACACGGTATACTGATTAGTATTGAAGTAAATAGAATGCTGACTGAGTATTGGTTCAAATATAGCGCAAAGTAGTTTAAATTTAATAATCTAATTTCACTACATTTAAAGGTTTAATTTGTTTTCGTAAGCGATTATAAGATTCATACGAAATCGCTTCCAAATATTTTGACATAGTGAGATACTTTTCTCCATTTTGTTGTTGAAACGTTTTATTAATGAATTATTATACTGAGATTCTAGTATATTAATAGGCATCTCTAACTTACTTCTTAGCCGAATTTGGAACGTTAAGGAAATACATGTTAAAGCACTAAACATTCATAATTAAAAACGAATATAAGCTATATTTCTTAACATATGTATAATACAGTGGAAACCCGGTTAACGAACGTCCTGGTTAACGACCAAATCGGTTAACGAACTTTTATTTTGCAAAAATTTTGTTTCGGATAACGAACAAAATTCGGATAACGAACGTAACGGTATTTTGTGTCAAATTTTAGTTGGTGTTAGGCATGCGCGAGTTAAGTATTGCTTTTCCGAGTGTTTGTGTTATACTTATTTTTTCTGTTTTGTGATTTATATATTTAATCAATATGGCATCCAAGAAACAAAAAAGTCATAGTGGCAATAGAAAACGACAATGTGATATCGCATTTGAGAAAAATTTTGATTAAAAGATTAAGACAATCAACTTTAGATCAATTTCTTGTTCCTTGCGGAAAGAGTTAGTTTGTTTGTTAAGTTATGGCAACGCAACACTTAGGCGATCTGCCTANAAACGCAGAAAAATTCTTTCTTTCGACTTTGCTGATCCATAGGTCGATTTTAGCGATAAACGCACTGATTTTATCTTCAAATGCAAATTTATTGCTAGTGACTTCCAGTTTCATATTTTCTGACCGCGCACCATACCCCAGCCCAATCCGCTATCGGCTCTAACCTTGACGTACTGCGCATTGTCATCAACGCGTCGTCATTTATTTAATAATTTTGGGATAACTTTCGCGGACCACTTCGGGTGCTTTCAGGGACCACCAGTGGTCCACGGACCACAGGTATTAGAGAAACAGCGAGAGAAGAATAATCATATTTATTCGACTTTTTTGAATCCGAAAAAACATTGGACAAAGTACGATAAACTGATAGGCAAAGAACTCCCAGCATACAATGTACTGTACCTGAAATTTTTGTGAAATGTGCTCAGCTTTATATATTGAAAAGATGGTGAGGTTTCAGCTGGGCATATCGCCCACCTTTGTGGCGTTATGCCCAGCTGAAACCTCACTATCTTTTCCAATAATTGTGAAAGTGCATCAGAAATTGAACTGGTCATCATTGCTGTTCATATCCTGTACAGATAATGTATCAGCGGACATTGATCGTATTGAGAACTTGTGACTCATACTACTCGGATAATTTATGATAACAACAGGAATTTTACAATGGTACCTGATCTGAAACAATATAGCATTGAGTGCTAGTTTGAAAAGAATCTAGAAATCAAACAAAATTTAATCATTGCCTGATTGCAATTTGGAATTCATTAAATATAATAGCAGTTCTATTTCATATTAAAACAATTTTCATCAATCTATGTTATGAACTATTTCTCAAAGTTTAAACTTATCTATATTTTTGGGATATCACAATAAATGTATTTTGTGTTTAACTCTTTATGTAACTGTCAAATACTGTAACATTCTATTGTGCTATAAAAAATAATATAAATAATCTATATTTTTCGAACATCTATATGTTTTATCATTATCGCAGAAAAAATTACAATAAAAAACTACTTTGTAATAAATAAAATTAATATATTTGAAATAATATCTTTATAACAGAATACATTATATATATTTACATCAATTATAGTTCATGTTTAAATTTCTTTACACAAAATTACATAAGTAAATTTTGTAATAAGTAATCATTGATTACTGAACTGATTAACGTATTATGCTATTTTGATTAAAATGGCCAATATTTTAAAAAGTTTTCAAATGTAACATTTAAAACAGAAAACACTTTTATATTAATACCAAAACCAACCTAACTCATTTTTATACTTCTAAATTGTCACAATCTATTGCAATATAAGTTAATCTATAAAAAAAACTACATATTTAAATACCTGAGACAAAGATACAGTTTCCTCATTCAAATGCATTAATGCCATATGTCCTTTTAAATGTGCCTTTTGTGTGAAAGCCTTTTTGCAGATCTGACACAAAAATGGTCGTTCTCCTGTATGTGATCTCACGTGTCTTTGTAATTGTGATTTATATAAAAACTTTTTGGGGCACTTGTCACATTGATGTTTTCTTTCATTCGGTTCTTTCGATGAACTCTAATTATAGAATTTTCTTAAAATTTATTAAATATTTAACTAAAACATTTTAATTTTGAAATATTAATGTTTCATACAAAATTTTCATTTCATATAAATTTTCATTACGTATATTCTTCATTTTCAAACTGACTTTTTAAAGTTAGTTCCTAATTTTTACCTGTGATTCAATACGGCGAATTCATTCTATAGTTGAAATTAAGAAAATTTTGTACAAAGCTTACAGAAATATATTTCATTTTTTTTTAATCTAATAAAATTAAATTTCAGAGAAATCTTTTTAATTACTTATTAAAATTGTTTTTCTTTTGTTAATGGCAATAGATGCAATAGCACATCAATTTATAAAATGTTTATTCACTTAAACAAAAATTAGCTACCTGGCGCTTCATGAATAATGTGCAAGTTCCTGTCAGGTAATGTTTTAAAGATACTGTATTTGGAATGTTGCATTATTTCTTTTTTTACGCTTTTTTTTATTTACGTATATAAATAACAATATATAAATTTATCTTTATCGTACTTCCTGTTGTATATTTTTTATCAGACTTCTTCTTAGTGAAAATTTAACCGATTTGAATGAATTAATTTTAGATATTGAATTATAGTTTGAAATAACATATCAGTAACGATGAAAATATTTTAAACTTTAAAAATTATAGTAAGTATATTTTTCGATGTTTTTCTTACACTGTTAATTATCACTGCCTCATTTTTATTAAATATACAATTAATTAAAATTTTTATATAGTCTATCGTATGATTATGATTAATATATTTTTATAAATTTTATTTAGATGAATATGAAAAAGTAAACATAATTACTTGAGAAGACTTTGCTTGTAAATGTTCTCGATTCACGTGTCTTAGCAATTTGAAATAATGGTCTGTACTGAAATCGCAACCATCATAGTTGCATTCGAATTCTCGAAAATGTATTTTTCTGTGTCTAAATAAAGTTCCATACTGAGAAAAAGTTTTTCCGCAAATTTCGCAAAGAAACGTTTTCTCACCAGTGTGAATTCTGATATGAATGTCTAAGAGACATTTTTTAGAAAATGTTTTCCCACATTCACTACATTGATGTTTCTTATCCTTTTTAAAAAATAAAATATTCGTAATATAATTATTAAAAATTGATAGTTTTTTTTTTAATTATTATCATAAATATTTTCTAGTTATATAAAAATATATTAGAAAAATATAGTTTATGTATTTTTACGATGTGGCATTAGAATTACGAATTTTTTCGCAATTAAATAAGTGTTCATCAAACATAAACAATTTTTAGAAAACAAAGTGATAGTTTCACTTACCATTTTTGATTTTAACTAAAGTTTCATTTAAATATTAAAATTCAATTTGTAAATTTTGAGTCAGAAACAACAATGTCCTATAACAATGTCTTACAATAATGTCGGACTGAGCAATTCTTCTGCATGATTGTGCAATTGTGCATGTATGTTAGCGTAAGAAGAGTAAAAAAAAAATAGATAAAATTATTATTTTTTCCATAATTTGTATAGCGTATGCTGAAAGTAAACACTGAGAGAGTAGCATTGAATTTCATAAGTCATTTTGTAAATATGTGACATATATATTATACATAATTACAAAATAAACTGAATTAAATACCATTGAACTCATTCAAAGCATTCAAAGTACACTGAATTGAAAGCATGGATTTAAAAGATGTTGAGGATCTACTTTAATTATACTGTATTTTATATTGTTCATTATATAAAACTTTTATTATATATTTAGTTGAATTGCGTAATTTTAATTTCTATCTGTGTTAAATAATCTAATGATGTAAGTAAACTTTTTTTTTAAATAATTGATGTAAATCGTGTGAGTAACGTAATATACTTTTATTTAATGTCTGGTCAACGGGCTGATCAGGCGGAGTTTCCCGGATTTTCTTCTCATTAGTAACACTTAAATAGGGGCGAATTTTTTATAAAAGACCTCCCAGTAGACATTTCCTTACAGGCAGATCGCCCACGCGTCACGTTGTCGAACAGCAATAAAACAAACATAGTTTTATCAATTAATATTTTTTGAATAGATGGATAATTTCGAAATGATATAGTGCTGAAATCAATTTGAGTGATATGTATGTCTTAACATACACGTAAAGTGCAACGTGGTTTGTGCCTGGGTTTCTTTTTTCTGATTCTAGTTTTCATACAGGTTTATAAAACGAAGCATTTTTTAGGAATTAATTAATATTTAATTATCTTATAAAACATTGTTTAATTCATCGGTACAGTTTGATAGTAATTTCGTACAACTTATAATTGAATTCAAAGTAAATACAGTGGATTAATACGAATAATTTTTTTTTTCAATTATATGAGGGAAACAATCGCAAGTGAAAATTATTAAATAGTTTAATTTAGCGAAAAGATATAAGTTAAAAGTAGTATTAAAATAAAAAGAAATATCAAGGCATAATATAATTGATAATTTTTTATTCTGTGGAATTAAAAAGTATATTTTTATCACTACTGACGCAAAACCAACACTGTAAATGAATTACACAATATTAAGCCAAAATTTATTGTAAATAATGTCGGTGATATCTTGCTAATTTGCATTGTTATTCTTATTCCTAAAATATAACACTGATGCACCATTTAATGTCAAAGAAAGTCTCGTATTATGCATTTTTATATTGAAGAAAATTTATAAGTAATATTTAGACTGAATGATTTCTATTTTGCTAACAATTTCAAAAATTTCAGCAACGTGTGCCTTTGCTTTCTTGGCAACATTTAAAATTGCGTGTGTAGCGTAATTTATTATGATATTTTAAAATTAAAATTTACATATATTTTTTAATTGTTATAAAATGGCACACAAATGAATTTTGAGAGTACAGATGAATTTAAAAAATCGTGAGTGCTAATAACGTGTAAAATCGTCATTAAATCCGACCCTACTCGAGATAAGATATACGAACCGTCGTTATCTTCTCATCCTTTCGATTTTTAACAATCAAAATTAATAGCTTCAGTTTCACTAATATTCGAATCTCTTTGAATATTAAAAATTATCGACACATAAAACAGAAGTTATTAAGCTTCAATGAAGATAAACAAAGTCGTGCCCCTCCCTCACCCTACACATATCTATACATAGTAGAAAAATGACGAATATTTTTGAATTTTTCGACGTTTCAAGATCCAGTCTTAAAATGCATAAATCTTGGGGTCATTTTCTGATCGATCCCCATAATTTTTTTTCTGTTATATATAATAAAGAACAAAACAAAAAAAAATTGTTTTGATAGTGATATACTGTACAGTGTTTTACATTATTTAATTTTTCTATAGAAGTTATTACAATTAATAATCACCTGATAGATTTGAAGATTTTTGTCGTAGCTTTTATACCATATGAAATAAACATATTCAGTCTAAAATGTAACAATCAACAAAGACATTCCTACTTAAAGATAAATGTTTTACAACGTTATCATTACCGAAATCGATCGCGGATTCAATGCATGTTCAGAACGTAAAAACAATTAATAGAAATTTGTACAATTAGTATTTAAATTTCAAACATATAAAATTGAAAAATACGGCAAGAATTATAGATATATATATAATTGTATAGTATAATTATACAACATATAACATAATAGTAGAAACGTTGCAAATATGGCAAAAAGCCTTCGATGACGATAGTCTATCAATAACAAGAGTATTCGAGTTAGACAAGAATTTCGAGGAAGACAGAACACGCAAAGATGAATCACGCTGGCGTAGACCAACCACTTCAACTGAGGTGAAGTTGGCATCCCTAGTTGCATTGTTTTTTTTTTTTTTCAAAGTAATTGGTACCATTTGTTTGTTCAACATTCGGCCAGGTTTACCCAATAAAAGCTTTCGATACCTCATTTAAAATTTGGCCCGTTTTACAAGACAGCGCTCCCAATCGCACTTGCTAGGTCTCAAACTACTGCCATTGAAATGCTAGCCAGTGTATTTTTCGCGATAATTTTAAGTGAGTAAACTGAAATAGAGAATAAGTTATTTGTGACCTATCCCTTTTTCTTTTAACTTTTATAAAATGATCACATCATAGCCGGGCGACTTTTGTTTAAACTTGTTTAGTGAATTTTTCGTATGAAAAAAAAAAATATGTATTCACTATG